CTATTTCACCATTTATTATAGCATTATAACTGGTATTGTCTATATGTTGATAAAAATAAAAAAGTGAGAAAAAAACAAACAGAATTCATTATTATTTAAAAACAGGTAAAAATAAATTTTATCAGAATTTTGAAGAAAAAAAAACTTTTCAAAACCGAAAAAATCCTAAACAAACAAATTTTTCAAACATTTAAATGTTAATAACCGAAAGAAAAGAGTCATTTTAACAAGCAGAAAATTAAATCATTAAAAGATTTAAATAAAAATTTTTGTTTTGAGCAAAAACAGAACGGTAAACCATTTACTAACAGTAAATGATGAAAAAGAGTATGTGAATGAAAAACATTAACTAGAAAAAAACAAAATAACAGTAAATAATGATCATCATTTGCATCCAGAATTTTTTCCATCATGATGATAATGATGCATTATTAGGCAGTTAATCTATGAGACGAAACAGAAAACAAAATGAAAGTATAACACCTTCATCCAGAATTCCAGGAGATAGAATATTTTTAAACAACAACATTGAAGAATGAAAAAAACGAAAAACTCTTGGTTGATTCTAATGATTCATTCTTTTTTTAGTCATTTAACACCTCTGCACACAAACAGGCATCTACGAAAATGAAAAAATCTCATTAACAACAATAATAATAATAATTCATGGATGAAACGAAAAAAATGGTCATTAGGTTTTAATGTTTTATTCTTTCTTTTTTGGGATAATTTTTTTTCTTCTTTTTCACCAAAAAAACCATCATCACATCAACGAAACGAAACGAAAAACATTAATATTCATCATCATCAGACGATGAATTTTTTTGGTTATTTTCGGGAAATTTTCCCCCTTTCCAAAAATGACCATAACCATACAAATATACAAATTTTTTGGTTGAAATTCTTGGATTCAGCAACGAAAAGAAAAAATTTCGTTTGATGAAAATCGTTTTTTTTCAGCCAAAAAAAAATCGATGATTTTGTTTCGGCTTGATGATTTTAAAAAAGTGGCAGAAAAAAAATTGGAATGATTGTAAAGGGTTAAGTATTCCGGATGATGATGATGATAATCACCATACATTAACACTTATGACTACTGGAAAAAAATGATTTCTTTTTTCACCAAGTTGAAAATCGTTTTCTGTTTCTATTTTTGGTTTTGAAATGATGATGAAAAACACTTAGACAATTCACCAAACATAAATGATAATTTTCATAATTTTAAATTCATTTTGCCGCTTGATGCAAACGAAAAAAGAAAAAAATCCTTTTTAAATTTTTTAAACATTTCAAATCAATCGATTGATTGATTGATTGATTAATGCATGTAGCAAACAAATGATGATGAAAAATAAATCAAAAGGTTTTTTCCTGAGAAAATTTCCCTAGAAAATGTCAAAGTTAAACGAATTCTTTGATTACTACAGTGAAAAAAAACTTGAATCTTTTCTTTTCTTTTTTGGTTCAAAGATGCATTTATTGATGATGATGATGGGGGCGTATTATGTTTGAACTAAATTATCTCTCTTTTCACTCAGCTTAGTAGTTTTGAAAAAAACTAGGTTAAAATTAGGTTTATTTTTCCAAAAAACGAAACAATCGACTATTTACACACACATTACACACAGTAAAAGAATCAAAAATTTGACAATAAAAGAAGAAGGAGAGAGAGAGAGAAAGTGTGCTAATTTAAGCCTTGTTAAGTAATATTGTAACACATTTTATGTGTGTGTGTACACTGTTAAAAATGGTATGACTTTATAAGTTCATAAAGTGGAAGTGTGGACTTATAAGNATTGTTAAATTTGTATTATATGCTTGACATGTTAATGATAATTGTAAATCATTACGTGTTAAATTATTTAATGTTAAAACATTTCTTGATATACTATTATTTATTATATAATAATCACTATCGATTAGATTTGAACCACGCCACCAATGTACAACAGGTAATGGATTACCTAATTATTTTTTGGAATAAAAAACAAACCAGAAACAAAACAAAAAAAACGATGAAAGAGAATCAAGATATACAAATGAAAGATGGAAAGATAAAAAACCAAAAACCAAAAACAAAAAAACAAATCAATACAAATCACACCATTCAAAAGAAAGAAAGAAAATAAATAAAATCATATCATGTATTGATTTATATGTATGGATTGAATGTTGTTTCCATATGTCTAAGTGTGTGTGTGTGTTTGTGTGTGTGTTTACCCGAATAAATCAGAGATTAACCAAACCAGCAACCAACTTTTGCCAACACTAAGCTTCAATGATGATGATTATTATTATTATAATAATGATAAAACATATAGACATTGTATCTTTCCTTTATATATATAGTTTTGCCAACCAAGTTAGTTAGTTAGTTTGTTCAAGATTTCAGATACAAAATAATACAAAATTATTAGCTTGTAAATAAATATTGTCGGATTCTATTTGCAAAAAAAAGTGATGCGTTGTTCTCTTTTTTTTGCGAGAAAAAGATGTGAAAAAATAGTGTTATGGAGCCATCAATATGTTTGGTGTGTGTGTGTGTGATGGTTAAGCCATGGCAATTTTTCACCTTCATTCATTGAATTTTTTTTCCTTCTTTCTTTTCTGTTGAACAGCGAAAATCAAATGCTATATTGTAAGGATAGAGAGATATTTTGTGTAGTAAAAGAATCGACGAAAAAGAAGCAAGAATAACAGAATAACAAACTAGATTAATTTTCAAGCTGAATTGCCATCTTGTTTTTTTTCAGCTGGAATACACGCACACACATAGACAGTTGATGAAAAGTTTTTTTTTTCAACGAAAAGAACCAAAAAAACTACGAAAAATTATCCTTTTTTCTTTACAGAATCTCTCTGGATTCTCGATTCTGTCGTCGTAGTTGTTGTTGTTNCAAGAATAACAGAATAACAAACTAGATTAATTTTCAAGCTGAATTGCCATCTTGTTTTTTGTTTTTTTCAGCTGGAATACACACACTCACATAGACAGTTGATGAAAAGTTTTTTTCAACGAAAAGAACCCAAAAAACTATCCTTTTTCTTTACAGAATCTTTCCAGCTTTCTGGATTCTCGATTCTGTCGTCGTAGTTGTTGTTGTTCATTATCATTATTATTTCTAGTGTTTTTTCTGTTGTCTTTGGCTTCAATTATATTATATAATCAAACAAAAACAAAATCCAAGTAGCTAAAGACTAAAACCTAGAATTAACTTGATAAATTTTCAACAACAGCAGCAACAAAGTGAAAAAAAGAATCCGGTAAAAAAATAATTATTTCATGAATAACCGAGGAAAAAAATATCTGGTGTTAGTTTCTATACGGGGATTTTAGTTTGGTAGTTTTTTTTGCTTGGATTCATAATGTTTGACATTCGATAACCAGAAAAAAAAGAAAATTATAACCTTGCTTTGCAAAAAAAAATCCAAATGAACATTGCCTTAATTAATTTGAACAGAAAAATCTATCTATCTGAAGTAATTCTAGTATAGTGCGTAGATTCTTGACGCCCAGTGTAGTTAAAACAAAAAAATTTCAATGGGAAACTTTCCAGGAAGAAAAATAAAAAATAGAATTTGTTGAACACCTGATCTTTTTTGTTTGTTTGTTTGTTTTTTTTAAATTATGAAACAATTCAGGAGAATACACAGGAAAAGAAAGAAAGACAAAAAAAAATAAAAAAATACTTTAAACATACCTTCATTTGAATCACAGATAAGGCTTTGTGTTGAATCTTCTTCAAATGGACCGGCAATTTTATCAATGATTGTAAAATTTTGATCATAAATTATAACAGATGTTGTTGGCACTGGTAGTTTGTTTTTGTTTTTGTTGTTGTTGTTTTCCAGTTGTTGAAAATTAAATTTTCACAAACGAACCATTGTGAACCAGGGAAAAAAATAACCGAAAGAAACGACGAAAGTAAAAAAAGAAAATTGTAAATGAATGAAAGCAAATTCTTGAAAAAAAAGCGTGGGCGTATGGAATTCTGTTTGGTTGATTCGTGTAAACTATGGGATTCGAGGAAACAACAACAAAAATCATCAAACATGTAATCAAACATCACGTTTTTTTTTGTTTGGTTTTTTTTCTGGTTGGTAGTGATGGTGGTGGATCGTTAATAATCTCCCTTGATGATGATGATGATGACCATTGTTTAACAAAAGTTTCATTCATTCATTCACTATATTGAAAAAGTCATCATCAACTAACCAACCAACCAACCAACCAACTAACCAATTTGATGATGTTGAGTTGATTGGCGACAAAAAAAAAATAAATTCTTCTCTCTCTCTCTCTCTCCAATTGGAATTATTATTATTATGATTATCTTTTGGTTGGTGATAGAAAAAAAAACAAACTAAGTTGACAAGATCTATTGGTTTTTTCCTATAGGATTTTCCACTCTTCTTTTTCGTTCGGCTCGAAACAAAGTATTCATTGATGATAATGATTACGATGATGAGAGAAAGACAAATAAATTGAAACAACTAACCAACTAACCAACCAAATTGGTTTAGTCAATGAAAAATTGACTGATTAAGTTCTTCATATGAAGAACTTTTTTTTTATTTTCATTGATTCTATAGTGATTCTGGGAAAGTTTTTGCCTTCAATGTTGTTGTTTACATTTGTAGCAACAACAACAACAACAACAACAATAGCCTGAGAACATTGGATAAAAATGTTTAATCTTTTGCTTTTTTACACTGGATTCTGGTGGTTTTTTCTTTTTCGGGAAATTTTTCGGGAAAAGCAATCATTATTTCGGGAATTTTTTTCTTTGTTTTTAAATAGAGCACAGGCAAAATTATCATTAAAAACATATAATCTGATTGTAATTTGATTTATTTTTCTGATTTATTTTTGTTTCTGCTGCTGGTCGATTATAAATCAATGGAAAATCGAAAATTACGAACGAAAAAAGAGAAAAAAATCAACCAGTAATACCATCATTCATTTCCTCATATCCATCAAATGGGAAACAAAAAAAAAATGGTAATTAGATTTTCTTCATTCGGGTTTTTTTTCAATCTCTGGTTTGGATCGATGATTCTTTCTCGTTTTTCATTTTGAATTTTTTTTTTTTTTGTTTCCAACTAAACGAAAAGGTTATTTTCGAAACCAGAATGAAAAATTATCATCATCATCATCATCATTGATTTCGGTCATTGATTTTGTTTGGCTGAATCGATTTTTTTTTTCGTTACCCGATTGGTCCCTATACGGAACAAATTATCTATCGTCAAACAGAAAGGGTTGATACATCAGTTTTTTTCTTCTTTCTCCTACTATTTTGGGAAGGCATCCATGATACAAAGTATCGTTTGTTTTTTTTATCGCTTCGCAAAATGAAAAATTGTTATTAATTTTTCATCATGGACTAAAATTGGATGAGCGCCTGTGTGTGTGTGTTGGTGTGATTTTAAATAATCAGAAAAAAACTTACCAATAACGGTTAATTTTAATATACGATTTACAGTACGAGCACGACGAAAATCAACACGACAACGATAATCACCACCATCATTTGATCGTACATGTTTGATTAATAAAAATGCTAATGGATAGCTAATATTAAATGTTGCACGTTGATCAAATATATCTGTATGTAGAAAATGTTGTGCATTTTCTAATGATGTTGATTGTCTTGCATCAACCGTATATATTGGTGTTGCAATATCATCACGATACCATAATACTAATGATACACCATCATCAAATGTTGGTGATGTTATATTACAAGGCAATGCTATTTCACCATTTATTATAGCATTATAACTGGTATTGTCTATATGTTGATAAAATAAAATGAGAAAAAAACAAAACAAAACAAAACAGTAAATAAAAAGCATTATCATCAACCAAAAAAAGGTAAAAATGAATTTAACAGAATCGAAAGATTTTCCAGCAAACAGAAAAATCCTAAACAAACAAATTTTTCAAACATTTAATAACAAATAATAACCGTAAAGAAAAGAGTCATTTTTAACAAGCAGAAAATTAAATCATTAAAAGATTTAAATAAATAAATGAAAAAAATTTTCGTTTTAAACAAAAACAGAACGGTAAACCATTTACTAACAGTAAATGATGAAAAAGAGTGAAAAACATTAACTAAAAAAAAACAAAATAACATTTATGATGATCATCATTTGCATCCAGAATTTTGTTTCCATCATGATGATGATGATGATGATAATGATGAAAGAGGCATTATTAGGCAGTTAATCTATGAAACGAAACAAAACAAAACAAAAAAAAAGTATAACACCTTCACAACTTTGAAGAATTAAAAAAAAGGCTCTTGGTTGATTCTAATGATTCATTCTATTTAGTCATTTAACACCTCTATACAGAAAACAGGCATCTACGAAAATGAAAAAAAAATCTCATTAACAACAATAATAATTCATGGATGGAAAAAAATGGTCATTAGGTTTTAATGTTTTATTCTTTCTTTTTCACCAAAAAAAAACCATCATCACATCAAACGAAACGAAAAACATTAATATTCATCATCATCATCATCAGACGATGAATTTTTGGGTTTTTTTTTGGAAATTTTTCCCCTTTCCAAAAATGACCATAACCATACAAATATACAAATTTTT